CAGGCACTGGATCTATTTCAGTGTTTCTAATCCCGTTTTCAGTTTGTTTGTTTGTTTCTTTACTACGGGTGCTTCTCTGTTTGATTTTTAATAAGCATTGTTACAATTTGAACCTCCCAAAAACTGCATAATTGCCAAGAAACATTTATTTAAACAATGTAGGATTATGTAAGGAGCTTTAAAATCAACTTGTGGTCTCATAGGTGGGTCTCGAGGTAAAAGTACCTTTATAAATGGTACAAAGAAGTTTCTGATTAGCTTCAGAGGTAACTTTTACACAAACATGTGGTTTGATATGAAGTCTTGTCATCTTTGCCTCAAAATGTGACAATTTCCTACCAAAAACAGGCCTGTTGACACTTTACCACATTTGGTTCACCCCAAAAATCACTGAAAAACTACTCGAAGATGAATTTATGAGTGTGTGTTCATGGATCATAGAGGAAGAAGGATACTAAAGGCTGCTTTACTGGGTATCCCTGCTGCTAGTCTGTGTTTTTTACATCACTTCCTCTTTCCCACGCCATTACACCAAATAATGACATCATTGCTCAGGTCCAATCATTTTCTTGCTGCTCTCTGTGAGCCAATCAGCCTCCACTGTCTGCTTTAAACCTCACTGCTCTTATGTCATCCCGCCTCGTGCCACTTCCTTCTCATCTTCACTACCAACCACCAGCGTCTAGACTTCAGGGGGTTCCTGCTTATCATTGCTGGGAATCCACTCTGCTATGATGCTTCATCACTCATGTTCAATAAAAACATGTTCAAATCTTTCAAGTGATGTCTTCTTATCAAAATGAGTATATGACTTATAATTACTGAATATAGGCTGAATATATTCATTCAAACCTTCAGGAGAGCCTGAACTTGACATGCAACCTCAACCACACATTTTATGGACTTCAACAGTTTTTTGAACCGTAACATACACTTAAAACACGTCATGCCTTTGCTTAGGCTTTATAGTTGAAATGTCCTAAAGCCTGAACTCATGGTCACTCCACCATTGAACAAAAAACGCACACAGCATTATGCTTTCTGGGTGTAGCCACAGTGGCTCCGAGGTGCAGGTGGAGCTGCCATGCTGTCCAAAAAGAAAACAACAATACAAACAGGAGGACTAAACATATGGTGTTTTCTGTCTATGCGAGTCAATCACACATCCTCCTCACAACTTCCCTACATGAACACACAAACACACACATGCACACACACTCATGCCGACACTAACAGTCAATAAGTGCAAGATTTATCAACTGCGTGCTGCGCTGGAACAGCTCGTTCTTCGCTTGTGAGCTTTAATCTTGAAGATCTAGCTTTTCAGATTATATATGAGACCATTTACATAACACGACAAGACACTTTAACTCCGGCTCAGCCACATAAAGTGACAAGAGCAGCTTGTTCAGGACACGTTTACCTCATGTCCTGCATAACTTTTTCTGCCTTGGTGAAAGAAGGGCAGATGGATTTGCCATATGGCCGACAGGAGCCACGCTGACTCTCACAGCCCCACTTCAACCCTGTTTTCTTGTTTGTGTTCTTTTACATTTAGGAAAGCTACAATTAGTTGCAGGTGGGTAAAAAAATTTGCATCCAATGCTGTTCAATAAGGGATTATATGTGAATGCTGTCTAATGTAACAAGTGCATGACAGTGCAGACAGTCTCCTCGTAAAAGAGCCACTAAATCTCACACCGGACATGGAGGGCATCTAGGGTTTTGAAGAAGACATCTGTGTGTCTGAGGCAGACTTGTAGACCGAGCAGACAAATAGACAGACATAATGAGAGTGAAACAGAGAAAGAAGGAATCCACGGGGAGAGAAACGATGGAGCATTGCCTGAGGGGAGCAGACATCCAGAGCTCAGTAACAACAAACTGACAGGCACCGCCGGGCTCGAGGGCAGCGCCGTCCCCGGCATTGTCATGCAGCCAGCGTTCCAAAAACATCAAGCCAAAACCAATACTACCACAACTGTCAAAAATGTGTTACTCTGTTCACTCTGCACACTACTCTGTATACACTTGATTTATGTGATATTTTTAAAAGGCCACAGATCGGCAGAGGTGAGAAGTAACAAAGTATTTGTATTTTGTTACTACAAAGTACTGGTATCTACAATTTTCAGGTATCTGTACTTTACTTGAGTAGCTTTTTTAATTTTTACTTCTACTCCCTATATTTTTAAACAAATATCTGTATTTTATACTCCTTAAATTTTCAAAAACAGACTCGTTACTTTTGCATTTTGGGGGAGTTTTTGCTCAGACTGCTCAGTGGAATTTGATATAGTGCAGATTTAAAGTTTCCATGTAAGTCCTCATGTTTTTAAATCAGATATTGGGTCTGTACACGTGACATTATGTGTTTTTTTTTATATTGTGAAACCTGCTGCAAAACAAACTGAGCTAGCTATGTGTTATTTAAAGATTGCATGAAAATCATCTGCAGTTTCACAGTCAAAGTAAGGTTATGTCAAGTGTAGCAGAGATTCATATGAATTTTAGTTGATGATGCTTAGATCCATTGACTGAGCAGGACAAGTCATGAAACATGGTTGAATTTGGTTGTTTACATCCAAACAGAGCAGCAGGTCAGCTGATCACAGCCTGTACACTAAGAAAATCTACCAGAGCTCTCAGTAGAAATTATTGTAAACCAGAACCTCCTGTCAAAACTTTCACTAGCTGAGGGGCTTTCAGTGCCCCTCAGCTAGATTGGGAGCGCAATAGCTGAGGCTGGTCTACTGCATCTCCTCTTGGGTCTCAAACCTTTGATCTTTTGGATCTTCATGCTGTAGAAGACCAAAGTGAAGCCAGTTTTAACCGATGTCTTAAATTTTATTTACAATCAGACTTTACATCTGATTTATAAAAAAGTTATTTCTCACCTGTAAAATCCGCATCATCTGCTGACACATTTAATGAAGTACCAAATAAATCCATCCATCCTTTTACTTAACTGCGCATCGAATTCAGGCACAAGTCATGAGTCTGTCTCCAGGCCAGCACGCAGAGACACGATCACATTCACACCTCCTGCCAGTTTAGAATCAACATTTATTAATTAATTTGCAGCTTGGTGTCAGTGCTAACCACTGTGCCACTGATTGCTAATAACTGTACTTTACACCAGTGTAAAGCATCATCACAATAATATAGAAAATGTGCTTTAGTATAACATAAACAAAGTTGGGTAATCACATGTTAAACATTAAATTACTCAGTCGTTTTCAGAGTAACCAAAGAGTAATGCCAAGTTGGGCTAGTGGCATCCATCCCACCCTGTCCCATCATCCTTCTCTGTCACTCCAACTCTCTGCATGGCCTCCTTCACTACATCCATCAATCTTCTCTGAGGTCTTTCTCTTTTCCTCCTGCCTGGCAGCTGCATTTATCCACTGTCTCTCCTCTGCACATGTCCAAACTATCGCAGTGTTGTCTCTTTAACTTTGTGTCCAAACTGCTCAATCTGAGGTCATTTCTAATGTTGTCCATTCTGGTCACTCTCAATAACAATCTTAGCATCTTCAGCTCTGCCTCTGGTCTTTTTTAGTTAGTGCCAAAATACTGAACACGTTATCTTCTGAAGTAACACTGTGACTGCTGTCTTTCGGCTTTCTGGAGTGACTCTATAAGATGTTGCTTTAGCTGTGGCTTTTAAAGACTTTACAGAAACGCAACATTTCAGCCAAATGTTTGTCATGATATACTTACACACCCTGTATCTCTGCAAGGAGAGTGCTGCAGCACCCTTCTGAGTTTATCTACTTTGTCAAATTGGATTGCCTATTTTCTGAATCTTCTCTCTCTCATTGCTTCAATAATTCAGTGTCTCCAGAAAACGCTGGAGAGGACAGAAGCAGCTAAAGAGTGAGCAACGAAGAGTCGTAACAGGCCCTGAATAAACACAGCGGCCTCGAGCACTGTTGTCGTTCATTCCCTCTCGGTGTTCTACTTTATTTCCTCCATCCTCACACTAAAGACACTTTATTGCTTAATTAACTTCATGTTTCCTCTCCTTTTCATTACTGTTTAACTGTGAAATAGCAACTGCCTTCAAAACTGGATTAGATCCTCTTATACTGCAGTTTCTCTGCAGAAAATACAATGACATGCGCCCTAATTACATTTTGGTTTTTCACACTATTCCACCTCCTAATCTTCTGTTTGTCTGTCCATCTACCAGATTTTCTCTCCTACCTGCCGGCACAAAAACTCTCATATGGGAATGAATCTTAAGTAGCTCCGTGGGCTAGGTTGCAACTACCAAGGACACACACACACACACACACACACACACACACACACACACACACCTAGGTCTCTGACCTCTCTTATCTGGTCTTCTTTCGCCCCTGACTGATTAAAGCCAGACACACGCTTCTTCTGGAGGTTTTAATTAGATAGAAAGTAAGCCCTTCACACACACACGGAGTAGCAGCAGCTTGTTCTTTCACTCTCATGCCTAAGGCTTGTCTGGAAATCTCGGATCTGTCCTTTCGTTCTGGCCGTAATGCCTCTAATTGTTATTATCTAATTGTCTGTGGGCTTTTCTGCTGCTTTGTAATCCCGTGAATCTCTCTGTCTTGAAACCTGTGGGCTGAACTCAGGGTTCAGCTGCAGTGACCGGTTTGTGATCTGTAACTGATTCTGGTTTGTCTGAACCTCCTGTTCTCCTATTCTAACAAATCATCTGCAGCAGATGTGCAAATTTTTTACCAAATCAGCACCACAAAAACAGCCTATCCAGGCCTTTTCAAGAGCACCCATTTCACAATAATTTCAAAGGAAAACATATGAAAGATTTTGGGTACCATCAGTGACGAGGAACTTGCAGGGCTGTGGGTGGACATTGGACACAACACAGCACTACTGCAACAAATTGTTTGACCTCAGACAGCTCAACACGACGTAGAAGCAGCTGGATGCAAAAACATGGAGGAAGGACAAATTGATAATCCCTGTTGAGAAGAGCCATCTGCAGTACTTACATTGCTGCTGCCGTGTCCTCCAGGTTCAATCATGTAGGTGTGATTGCCGTCGAAAAACATCCCACTGAAAAGGGAAAGAGGGGGAGAGGCGAGAGCTCATATCAGTACAAGTTTCTGCTGTTTTTTTCAGCATCAAATGGAATAAATCAAGTCCTCCGGACAGATTAGTCACTTCATATGGAAAACTGTTATAAAAGAACATAAACCAGAGAGAGACCTTACAGTCCTTAATGTGCATATGACTCTCATTTTTCTGCAAATAAATTAGATAACAAGTTTAAGGACTGGACAGCTAAGGGAACAACAGTTATGTTCGACGTAATGAAAAAAAGTTTTGAAGTTTGAAGTTTTGAAATGCTTATTAGAAAAGCAAGACTTCTATGGATATTTACAGATGGGACGCTATGTTATATGACTGTGAGAAAAGTAACGGAGGGAAGAAGGAGGTGTAATGGACAGTGATGTGGAGATTACAATGGAAGATTTTTTTATTACACCCGCACAGAAACCTGTCTATAGTGTTATAACCTCCCTGTCTGCTGGACAGTAAAGAGAGATACACTCCAAGTAAGAGGGCTATATATTTGGGGTAGGGCTAGATTATTACAGAAGAACATTAAATATATCTGTATTACCTCTCTCTCTCTCCCCCTCTATCTATCTATCCATCTATCTATCCATCTATCTATCTATCTATCCATCTATCTATCTATCTATCTATCTATCTATCTATCTATATATATATATATATATATATATATACACGTAATATATATGTGTGTGTGTATATGTATATATACATATATATATCTGTAATATTGATCACACAAGGGAGGCTATTACAGCAGCAGAATAAAGAATAAAAATAGTACAGACTACAATAAATAAACATACGCATAGTGAGGGCCTTATACTGCAAAGAAATTATATATACAAAACTGTGATTTAAAAAAAAAAACAGGGAAGTAAAAAATAAAAATTAGGTTTAGTTAAAGAAGAGTAAAAAGTATGACTAATAAATACTATGTACACTATAAAGCTGAGACATAGTTGCAAGAAGTTAATGTTGGTGAATAATAATAATATAGGATTAGTTTAGTCTAATTAGTCCATCAATGGCTCAGCTGTTAGAATAAAAACAAAATCCATGCTGTCATCACATATAAGGTTGCGAGAGAACAGCACAGAGCTATGCAGCATTTTAACCATGGCTGAAGGTCTTTGGCCGCCTGCCCACATTCATGTGCGCATGAACACATCATCCGTTAATTAAGTTTATCTGAAGCTTTTAGGAGATTGGTCGGGTCAGACTGTGAAGTCAGGAGGGTAAACACTGCAGGAAATACACAATCTACTGTATCTACCTCCTCCGACTCTACCCTCTCTGTGTTTTTCAGGTTTCCTGGCTGGACAAATTGAAAGAATTTATGTGTGTATTTTATGCTTAAATCTGTTCAGTGCTGGTGTGAGTGAGTGGGATTTGGAAGAAAGGTGATGTCATGCATCTGTGCACAAACCACACCTACACAATCCCCTCAGTTATTATAGCTTTACCTGACTTTACATGTCGTTGCTGCTTAGTTTGGGATGCAGCTTTACTTTTACTGACACACCAAATAAGAACTATCGCTGGACTGTATAGAAAGTTTAGCTTAGCTTTTAGTTTTAGTCAGGTCAGCGTGCAAATGTAATCTTTTAATTTAAAGATAAGGCTTTAAATTATAGCTAATTTGATAAATGATTAAGAAACAAATGGATGGATGGATTCTTTTAGCTCACTTTTGTGCTGCATCAAAGCAAAGAATCCAAGCTAAATGTTTAGAAAGAGAACAAAATTTGCCTGTGTGTGTGTGTGTGTGTGTGTGTGTGTGTGTGTGTGTGTGTGTG